TGTGAGTGTTTGTTTTTTTACTAACCAGTTAATATTGAGAGAGAGAGAGTTCACATATTATTTTGTCTGAGTCTACTTCCTATTTGCACAGAGATTATATATTGTTGGGTTCCTAGTGCTGATAGTTTAGTCAGAGTTCATATTACAATACATATTTGAAGTTATACACCACTCTCCCAAAACTAAAAGTAAAACTAAAAGCATTTTGTACTGATTTGGTGCAGTTGTAGTTTTTTCAACAGGTTGAATTGATAATAAATAGTACAGTCAAATTGGCGGNACACATGAGGGTTTTCTGGCTAAATTTCGATGATATGGCTTCTTGGTTCATTTTTGTGTATGGCTGTTCAGCTTCCTGAAGAATGTTCCCTGCAAGTGGCCGTCGATAGATATCTCTCACCATCAACGCAAGCGTTCCCCATTTATATATATTTTTGTTCTACATCTATGACTTATTGGAAAAAAGCAAGAATCCAATATATTGCTTTGCTGACGACAGAACACTGGTCTCGTCATTACATTTTGATTCCAGGACAGCAGCTGCGGATGCACATCTTCACCGGTAGCAGGAGGTTGAATATCTTAATGAGGATCTAGAAGTAATTTCGAATTGTGGTGGAAGTAACCAGGTTCAATTCAATGTTACGAAAACCAAGGCATCGGTTTTCTATAAAAAGATAAATGTCTTATTAGGCTTATGAGCAATGTCGGACGACAGTGGGACTCGCATGTCTATGTATGTTATGTATAATTATTTACATATTGAATGTGGAAACGTTTCATGAAATATTATAAATCATGAATCTTTTCATTTCATGTTTGTTGAACCTAATTTCAGTAGGTGAGGACGTTATGAATATAGAAAAAAAACATAAATTTGTTGTAGATTACAACAGATTAATTTTTCGTAATGATGCACTAGTTTTGGTGTCATCTTCAAAGGCATTATGATTTTGGCTTCATATTGCTGAATTTTAATTTTTTGTGTTCTTATATGCTCCGAATTTTTTCTCTACATACTCTCAATATCATTCATGTTGGAATGTTAGGGCTGGAAGCGTCCAGGTTCAATCCATTCAGGTATCAGACGTAAGTCCCATCGTAACAGAATCTTTCTTCGAAATGATCCAAACACAGAGGTTCCTCTTGATTTAATAGTAGCATATCCCACCATTGAGCATATAGGGGTAGTTCATTTTAAACCAATCATATTTCTCGAAACCCCTCACAAATACTGTATCGTATTCGGCCAAAATAGTCCTTAAAATATCTACAACATCCTAATATGGTATATTTCCTTCCCAATATCATAAGCCGTGGATATTTTTTTTTTCAAACAGAACTTGTTTCATTCAATTGATGAATGTATACGTTACTACTTGGTAAGAGATCATCACGAAAAATGAGATATGAATCTTCCTATGATTTTATACCACTTGTATTTGTAACTAACAAGCGAGTGAGACTCGGGGTCTTTAACCTCGTGTGATCACCTGGATCTACACTACAATAATAAGAGCTATGTTAACGTACGGAGTAATTGCATGGGGACCGAAAATTCTACAAGCAACAGCCATCCAAAAATTATATCAAATACAGAAATTGGCCTGTTTTAACATCACAGAAGCCATGAGAACAACACCAACTGCTGCAATGGAATTAAATATTGGTCTGACCCCTCTGGACCTGTAAGTTAAGGAGGTTGCGTTAATGGCAATGCTACGATTGCGCACCGCTGGTGTAAACCTCGAAGTAGGAATAGGTCAATTGAGACTGAGCCTATGGCGAGAAGCGCCTACTGCGCAACATCTGCTGCAGGCAGCCAGTGATGCCTGTGTTCAATAAACCCTACAAAATACAAACAAAACGGAACACAGAGTATTGCATTTGTAGCCATGTTACAAATGCATTACTCTTATATACAGACGGCTCAAAAAACAAAGAAGGCTCGGAATGTGGAGTGTACTCCAGATCTCTAAGCCTGAAGATTAAGTGGGGAATGGGAAACGATACCAGCGTGGTGGTGCAGTCTTACCAGGATCACCCTAGGCGACCCTGGGAAGCTGGCGCCGAAGAAATATCTGGCGATGACCAGGAACAATCTACGCCCAACAGTAGGATTTCTGACTGGCCACTGTCAACTAAGGAAGCACCTGCATAATATGGGGCTAGTGGACACACCTCTATGCAGGATGTGGGATGAGGAGTGTACTCCAGATCTCTAAGCCTAAAGATTACCAGCGTGGTTCAAACAGAACTGGCTGGTATCTCATTTGCCACAAAAAAAGATAACCAGGAAAGGAATTTCTGGCAAAAACCTAANCAGGAGTTTTGAATCTTTTGGAGTCTTTTCTTGTTCCTAATTGTGAGGCATGGTCCATAGAGTACATCTGCATAGTTCAAAGATGAAAGAACGAGACTGTCACATAAAGTAATGTTTGTGTTTTTAGGGAGGGATTTTCGATTTCCGTAAATCAGCTTGAGTGGAAGGTAAGCTTTCTGGATCAATTTATACACATGGAAATCAAATCGGAGATCACTATCTATAGTCACCCCAAGATTTTTTGCTTCCTTCACAATTTCTAATACATTGGAACCTATACTAATATTGAGTTGTTGTTTTACAACATCTCTGTGATTTTTTGGACCGAATATTAGTAATTTCGACTTAGATGTATCATTCATTAGGCACATATTCTCAACAAGGGTGAAAATGTATCAAGATCGTGACTGATCCGCCTATTAGCGTCATTTACTCTGTGTGGTTCAAAAGAATAATAGATTTGGGTGTCATCGGCATAAAGATGTACACTGCAATACTGAAGGCATTTCACTCATTGACTGGTGTATATCGTAAATAGGAGAGGGTCAAGAATTGATCCCTGTGGAACGCCTGTTTTTAAATTCAAAGGCGTGGAATGTACTCCATCAAGAACAATTTCCTGGCGTCCATTGTGTAGATAGTTTCGAAAAAAAAAAGAACTGAATCATCTGACAAACCAATGTAGTGTAAGATCGACAATAACAGCTCATGATTGATGGTGTCAAATGGCCTGCTGAAATCTAGAAGAGCCAGGACGGTATATTGATTTCGATCACTCGCATTGAAAATATCATCAATATAGGGCTAGTGGACACACCTCTATGCAGGATGTGTGAATAGGAAGGTGAAACTGTCAGGCATGTCCTATGCGAGTATCCGGAGTTATCGTGAGTGTGTGTTCGACGAGTCTTGGCCTACCCCTGCCGATATAAAGTAGATGTATCCTAGTGACCTGTCCACCTTCCTGGAAAGGATAGGATGGACGATGACCTAGAAGGACAACTCCTCGGCAGGATGTTCAATGAGTACATGTAGCCTTAGTGCTGTGGGCCTACACTCACCGTCTACTCTACAAATACAGATGAATGTCTCCGAACCGGATATTATAATGTTAGGTCAGATAATTCCGCTTTCTGCTTCGATGAGTTTGTGGGGGGGTTAAAATGGACACCAATATGTCTTGGCACAATAATGTCCCTGGAATAGCAAAGGCTGCTCCTCAAAAGCTTGAAGCACAGTTCGGAACCAGAAAACTATACACACCTCAACAAACTTTGATGCTTTATAAAGCTCAGATCAGACTTTCTTTGGAGTATTGGGAGAGTTTAGAAATTCTTCCATTCTGAGAACGGCGTTTATGTGGAATGAACTTCCTGAGAACCTTTTTCCAAATGAATTTAATCTCTAGCGATTCAAATCCAATGTGAATCGCTACTTCCGCCCAGACACCGAGGATTTTCCTCCAGTGCTTGTATTTTGTCCTTGAAAAAAAACGAATTATCAAAATAGCCCAATCTTTTCGATATCTCACGCACCGTTTGTGATGGGTCAGTCTCCATCAGGCTCCTCAAATTCTCATCCTGACCAATTCGGGGCTCATCTTCGAGGCTATAATCCCCGGAACGAAATTTCGCATACGAACGTCGGGAAGGGCGTTCATTAACACTGTCATTGCCAAATGCCTTGTTAGTTTTTAGACCTATTTCGGCAGCGCTTTGGTGTAATCTGAATTCATAGAGGAAACATGGCAGAAAATCGCTCGTAGACATCATATAGTAATAAACTGTATAGACTACGAAATTCTCTATCAGTCAGTGTACACCACGACACAGTAGAACAAATGTTTATTGAGATATGGAGCTGCAAAGACAGATGACATTGAACTGACAAAAACAACCTAATCGTTCTCCATGAACGATTCCATTTTTCTAGCAATTTTCCACATCTCTGATCGTGAAAAGTCAATTTTTTACAATTTCCTTGAATTTATACGTGGATAAATTTATTTTCATCGAAAAGTTCGTCAAACGCAATATAATTAAACAAAAAGCGAGGGAACAAAAATAAACAGAAAGCAATATTAACCAATGGGAATTCTTCTTTGTGCTATTCAATCTTTCATTTATGTTATAGTTGGCTATTGTACATTAACAGCCAAAAAAGAAAGGAAGCAATAAATTTCAAAGAAATAACTCTATACAAAGATGTGTGTCAAGATGGAGAAGTAGAAAGCCATAGACTTCTTTTCCCAAAAATTAACCCCTCCTAAAAATACACCCCTTCCAATTTGAAAATTTCCATCCGAGAAATTTTTCGTTTCAGTAAAAGAATAAGTAAAAACATGGCGTATGACCGATATCACTGATTTCCATTATGATTTTTTTGTAGTGAAAGTTAATTTGACGGTCATTCAGCAAATATGACTGATCGGGCTTTCGCCCAAAAGTAGTTTTAATCAAATCGTGAAAATATGTTTGATTCTGAGATTCTTTTTCAGTGTTTCGGAATAACCAATTTTATGCATGTGATAAACATATTTTTCCAAGGTTGTTTCTGGAAGACTGGTCACAAAATTTGAATTGATATACAGAGGTATAATCTCTGTGGATCCTTGATAAAACATTTGACGCCTCTGCAGGAACTAACAGATAAATTACTGAACGGAAGTACAAAGATTTGTTGAAACCCGGGTGAGTTAATTAGTCGACATGCTCCATTGTATGTTACTGTAACACTCGAAAAAATGGAAGTTAAATTAGTGTCATTTCTTACTTTCCTTCAGATCATCAGTTCACTTTCTGCAGCAAGTGTAATTGGTAAGTGAATAATTTATGTTCATCAAAATTGATTTTATCGTAGTTGGGTATTTTCCACAATTTGAAAAATATGAAAGTTGTAATGAAAAACTTTCCACACGTGTAGAAACAAACATTTCAATTCACCCCGATTGATTACCGCGTAAATTCAAAGTATTTTTCATTGAGAAAAATGTTCTACTTATCAGTATAAGGAAGTAAATGTATTCTTTTCAGCTGCCCGAGCTTTCGCTGATGTTTATTAGCTTTATCGAGGGCTGTAATATAAAAAAGGGCGTAATTCTTTCGTGAAAGTAAAAATGTTTTTGATGTCGGTTATTAATTTGGGAATAGAATTATATACTTTAGGCGCAATGTACCTATCTGTATGACCGTTGACCGAACGATTTAGCCATGTGAGGTACTATATGTTGATTTTTCTGGCGAGTTTCGTAATAGTGAGATGTCCATATATAGCTGATTTTTCATTTGATAATACATGTCCCCGGTATCTAATGTCGAAATTCCTGCCTGTCTGGCCTGTATAAGCTGCTGAACAGTCGCTATATTCTAGTCTATGAATGCCCGATTTTTTCACGTATCCCTTTTGGGTTTCGCGTTGAATTACATGTTCTAACTAGTAAATGATGTAGTATTATCGAGTTTTGAAAAAATATGTTTTTTCTATGGATACTTTCAGTCCTTTATCACATAAATTACCTGCATTCAGATCAATGATACGTAGCGCATCAATGATTCCTTCATCAGAGAAGGCTTTTCAAGAAGAAATGAAAATATTTCAAACATTTCAAATATAAACCTCGAGTACATGAACAAAGTAACATGTAAAACATTGGCTGAACTAAACTGAATGACTTAATTTTGACACTATGAGAGAATACAACAAAAATAGACATTTTTTAAATTCACTTTTTTCCAATACAAAAAATACTGAATCCCTGATGGGACAAAAACACACTAAACAAGCAAACTTCTTTGCAAATTCATTGAATGGAAGTTTACAACCTAAAATTTACAATCAACTGATCTGTTGTGCTAGAGTTGCTAATACACCATTATTTTAGGTGGGTTGGATTTTTTGCAACCCATCGATCGTTTGCAACACTCCCTTCGAAGAAACAGACGATACCTGGGACTGAGCAAACTATTTAAAGTAAGACAAAACCAAAACATTCAATGGGCGGGTTTTAATTCTTTTTTTTTCAGCTGAATAAACGATATGAGGAGTGCATAGCACCTGGAGATTTGAAAGGGCACTGTAAACATCTCTCCTATTGCCCTACTAATATATTCAATCCAAAAAATACGTTCGATTATTTGTGTGTGATTGAGAAAACGTGAGTATGAAAAGTTTCGACTGAATATTTCGTGTTCTATTTAAGTGCATTTTTGTCATATTTTGGGAAACACTTTCATATCAACATAAAATGTGTAACGAATGAGTTGATAGGATTGATTTATTTCAAGTTTATTCTCCTCGTTTGAGAACAGATTAACATTCAAAAATATTTTTCAATTAGTATTCTAGATCATTACTTGATTACTTGTATTTGCACTTCTGTTGTGGGCTGCATTTCATTTAGAATGAAAAAATGATGGAAGACTTCAAAACAAAAAACCTTCAAGAATTCATCAATTGGATTCCTTTTATAGATATGTTGGTATTTGCTGTCCAGATGATATAGCTAGCGCAGGAGTGGCAGGATCTCAGCTGGTCAAAGACTTACCAGCAGGAGGAAATGATTATGATGAGGATGAGAAGTATACAGGTACATATTTTTCAACTTTTTTCCCAGAAATAAAGGGTCAGATTTCTACATGAAGACTTCTTTGAGTCGAAAAATTAAATGAAAAAAAGTCCAGTCTATGAACGGTCATAAATATTGTTATTGAGAATTTCATAGTCAAATTAGTAGGTCTGATCAAAACATTGATTGGCGATTTTTTTATGTTGGTACACTAAGCTTGAACATATATTCACAGTTTTAGCTATTTGGCATGTTCATTTTGTTGGTGAGAGGCATAAAAGTTAGAAGTGTTTTGTGTGTTCGTCAATTTTCTGCTATCGAAAGAAATGGATCAAAGAATTTGCATCAAGTTTTGTGTGAAGAATGGAATGAGGTGCTCAAAAAATATTCGAACTGTTGACAGTGACATACAGTGATTGTACTCAGAAAAATGTTTACATGTGACACAAGCTTTTCGCAGAAGGTCGAAAATGATTGAAGTTGAATTCCAATACCGAACCGTTATTTTTAACACTTCGACACGTGTTTCAATCATCTTCAAGAGAAATATCGATCTTCCTCTTGGTGTTGGGATAGAACTGTAGTAAACCTTAGGTTTCAAACAGTGCATCACAAGTAATATGCAACTTCACCACAGTGTTTGAAATACTTATCTATAGCAGGTCATATCTTCATTCGAGCAATCAAATTACACCACTTCAACATGGTTTTATGAAAGGTCACTCGACAATCAGCAACCTTTTCAATGTTACCCAATATATCTCTGAAACCATTGATAGGAGATTCCAAACTGATGTCACATATACGGACTTCTCTAAGGCGTTCGACAGACTTGATCATGAATTACTGCTATCGAAATTGTACAGGTATGGCTTTTTTCTGACCCTGACCCAACTTTGTATATTATACTTCACTGACAGGCGTCAGTAACTTCAGTAGCTTCAAGTCCGTGGAATATGCAGCTATCTCGGGTGTTCCACAAGGAAGCAACCTAGGTCCACTTCTCTTCAACGCCTTCATAAACAACATAGTTGAGGTCATTGATATCAACTGTTTGATATACGCAAATGACCTGAAATTATATTGTGAGATCAATGGCATAGAGGACTGTCTTGAATTCTCCCTCAATCTGAAACATATTGAGCAATGTTGTTTTCGCAATAATCTTCCTTTACACGCTAGTAAATGTAATGTAATGATGTTCACACTAAAAAATCGGCTATTTTCATATCAATATTTAATAAATGATATTCCACTTTAACGACCTCTCGCATTCACCGATTTAGGTGTTACCTTCGACACAAAACTTTCCTTCGTATCACACACTAAAGCCACTCTGTCTGCTGCAAACAGAATGTACGGATTTATTGCACAAATCTCCAGAGATTTCTGGGATCCATCTACATCGAAAACCTTATACTGTGCTTTCGTCAGATAAAAATTGGAATATGCATCCATAATCTGGAATCCACCTCATCAGTTGTATACAGAGAAAGTTGAATCAGTACAACGCCGTTTCCTAAGACTTATCCCCTATAGATTAGACAATATCTATCTACTAGTTGGATTTCCCCATGATGCAGTGTTAGCTAGACATGCTTTGAATAGCTTGTGTTGCCGTCGTGATTGTCACCACAATTTTTCTATGTATACTGATTAATAATTTAATTATTGACCCACATATTCTGCAAGAACTGAATTTCAATGTACCTAGATCAACCTTCAGAGTTATTGATCCTTTTTATCTGCCAACATCACGTATAAATATTCTGAAACGTTCACCTCTGCATAACATGTGTGTCAAATGCAATTCTGCAAGTTGTCAACTCGGCATTTTTGACTGTTCCTTTTCTGATATTGGATCTTTTTACTTCAGCTGAGTCTATATGTATTGTTTTTATCTTATAACTTATTGTAATTGTATTGTATTGTGATTTGACTTATATCCCTGTTCTGTAGTTAGATGTAACCTGTAGAACAGTTCATAAATAAATAAATTATTGAATGAATAAAAATAAAGTAAAGAAGGTCAAGAGGATGTGAATGACGACACTTGTGCTAGACGCCACAGTATATCAACAACAGATGAAAATGTTGAGGAAGTGAATTGAATTTTTATGGAGAATCGTCAAATTACTATAAGAAAAGTTGCTAAGGATGTTGGCATATCGATTGGCTCATGTAATGTATTTTTTTCTGAAATTCTGGATATGAAGAGTATATCGACATTGCTGAATTTTGACCAAAAAACCCGTCGCATGAGCATCGCTCAGGAATTGTTGAATGACGTCAAAGGGGCTCCAGATTTACTTGAAACGGTTATGAGTGGTGACGAATTATGGGTATATTATGACATCGAAACCATAGTCCAATCATCCCAACGGAAGAGCCCGGGAGAGCCAAGACCAAAGAAAGCACACCAAGTTCGTTCAAATGTCAAGATTTTTCTTCGATTACAGTGGCGTAGTGTATCAGAAGTTCTCGCCACATGGTCGTACGCTTGCGGGAAGCAATACGAAGAAGTACGGCATTGTGGAAAAACATAGCTTTCGCACCTCGAAAATGCACCTGATCACTTCTCACTTCTCATTGCTAGTTCGTAATTTTTTGCCCAAAAATAATACGTTTTCATGCCTCATCCATCGTATTCACCAGATTTGCCCTCCTGCGACTTTTTCTGTTCCCAAGATTGAAAACACTCATGAAATATGACGTTTTGCGACGATTAAGGAGATAAAAACTGAATTGCTGACAGAGCTCAAGGACATACCACAAGGTGCATATCAGAACTGCGTTGATGATTGGAATAAATGCTGCCACAGGTGTATTGAATCTGAGGGGAGCTACTTTGAAGGGAATGAAATAGAAATTGATGAATAAATAAATATTTTTTGAGAAAAAAGAATTTTCACGACATTTTGTACTTACAATATTTGTATTTCCGCGAAGAATAAAAACTTAAAGTCGTCTTCACAATTTAATATAACCATCAGATGTTAGAACTGTAAAAGCATCAATCAGCACATGTTTCGAACCTATATAGGTTCATCATCAGCTAATTATTTGAAATTCTACAATAAAAGAAGAACAACATAACAATAGTTAATACAATGAAGTATAAAATACTTACATGGAGAAGAAAATATTTTATGGATAGAAGAAAATTGCCACATGTTAACAATGGAACAAAATGGTCACAATGACATGAGAAAGATGTTTTTAAGGTAGTGAAAAACGGGGAAATTTATAACTAAGTTTCTCCGTTTTTTACTACCTTGAAAATATATTTCTCATGTCATTGTGACCATTTTGTGTCATTGTTAACATGTGACAATTTTCTTTCCTTCATAAAATATTTTCTCCAACATAATTTCAAATAATTAGATAATGACGAACCTATATAGGCTCGAAGCATGTACTGATTATCGTTTTATCGTTCTAACATCTGACATCCACTTTGAGTATGATAGATTTCTACCAGAGAATTGTATTTCTGTTAGTTTTTAGTAAAAAGGTTGGGGAATATATGGTTTCTTTTCTTCACTCAAACATTCCGAAAAACCTTTGTTTCATTTAGGGTGTGGCCTACCGGCGGAAAGAAGATCTGTAACTGGAACCAACAAGATCAGTGCTCAAGAATGGCCTTGGATGGCAGCCCTTTACCGCAAGAAAGAGTTGGAGCAAGGATTAGAGCAACAATTCTGTGGTGGTGCTCTCATAACAGATACACACATTTTGACTGCTTCCCATTGCACACAAGGGTAAGGTTCAATCACATCAGATCAGATCAGATCATCAAATCAAATCAGTAATTTAAACCTTGACCAGTAATCTGCAAGTTGATGAGACTATAGCAAAAAATTTTCAGATTGATTCAGCCGTTACTTGATGAAGATCCATAGTAATTTCACAAACTTCACCTAAACGATTTGATCTCCACAAACTTTATTGAAAAAATATACATTTTATCAATAATTCAATCAATTGGTCGTTTTTCGCTTCCATATGTTACGTATCTCTACGCTAGCTTGACTAAATGCGTTGTTGGATTACATATACGCGGCTTCTTTGAATTTTCTCCTGAACCAATGTTCCTCTTCGTGTATGATCTCAGCTTGGTACCATTCGATGTTACGTTGATGGGTCCAAACATGCTCTGCTATTCCTAATTTGCTGGTTTCCCTTCGCTGTGTGTGTTTCTCGTGCTCGGCAATGCGAACATTCAATGGCCTCTTAGTTTCACCGATATAAGATTTTCCGCACTCAGAGGGTATCCGGTAAATGCAATTCTTGGAATCGCGGTCCGCGTTTGGTGGCCTGGTTTTCGTGAGGCTGCTACGGATAGTGTTTCCGGATCTGAAGCAGGTTCTTTCGTATCTTTTCCGATAATCCTCTGATGTAGGAAAGTGCAAGCACTGGTTGTGACGGCTTCTCTTAATTACTTCCCATTATTGTTTCTTTTCAGCATTTTTGCTTGATATGATTAATTTTTAATTCTTCTTTCTCAGTTATTTCAGGGATTTCAAATCATTTTATATAATATCAGACAATGGAAGTCCGAACTAATAAAATTTACTATTCTACTAGTCAATTTCTGTCATTATATACTCATATTGAGGTAGTTGTGAAGCAATTTGTAATTCGTTTGTAGCTGTAATCATCTTGGATTAACTATGATACAGAATTGATCAAATTGTATTGTCATCAAAACCAACTTTGTTTATCAAATATCAGATCAATCTTTCAACAGGAAGTGGCTCAAAAATCAATTGAATTTGACCCAAACAAACAGAGCAAGCTAAACAAAACCGTTCATTAATGAAAGGACTCGTTTTGTTCGCGCAAAAGCAAAAAAACTCATAACTTGAATCGTGACAATTTCTGTTAATGGATCAAATCGTGGAGCACTCAATTTTCGAGCTTTCTGACCTTTTGAATACGCATGGGGGCTAATGCCCAGTTTTTTGGCCCATGTACCATTTGTAATGGGGTCTCCACCAGAGTCCTGAAATCCTTGTCCCGGATTGCTGTAGGTCAACCATTTTAGAGCTTATCTTCGCTATTCAGAATTTTGTTACAAATTGATCACCATGGAGGTAGTAGAATTGAATATATTTCTGTTATAGGTACTTTGAGGAATATTTTGTTAACATATTGAAAATAACCTGCCTGATGGATACTTCGAATGAAACATTTGAATTTTGAATGAACTACTATTATCCACAGAAGAATCATGAACTATTTGTTACATCAGGAGTTTCTTTGCATTATCTGATAATTTAAGAAAATTGAAATATGTGCGATTTAAACTTCCTTCGTCTATTTGAATTGAAGGGGTTATATTTTTAGGAATGATTAATTTTTGTATTGATATTTGATATTAATTAATTAATATCATGTGAATGATATCTGATTTTCATTCCACAACGAATGTTTGAGATACAAACTGAGTAGAGAAAAGTATCTTCTGTATAATTCAGTGTTCATATAGAAGTATTTGTTTCGAAAGAATTTTTTTCTTTCGTGTAATTCAATGTTTATATGAAAGTAGCTGT